AAACTACAAAATACTACAGCAAAAACTACAACTACTGCAAAGGCCTTTTTCTTAAAGGGCCAGTAACACAGATCATCCAGACAGGAAGCAGCTAAGAAATTGTAATTAATTTTTTTTTTGATCGACTGTTGGATCAAAATCCTAATCATACTATTGCCCCAGATCTAGTACTTCATCATAGAAGTAGAACCTTGAACCTTCCTTAAGGAATTTGTTTTTCATGCAGGTGTGTACGTGGAGGACATGGTGGACTGCAGTACTCAGAAGTTGTATACCGGCCTGCTGGCAGTCGGAGACGAGATCGTTGAGGTGAACGGAGAGAAGGTCGCCTGTCTCAGTTTGGATCAGGTGACCCAGCTGCTAACACAGACCACGATGGCCACAATCCGGGTCCTCCGAAACCAGAGGACGACTCCACGGTGACGGTAGCAACGACATCATCTGTAACTACAACTGAAACCATAGCTGTAATTTTAATGACCGTATCTGCGACTGTACCTTTAATAACAGTTATTATAACCCATAAAGGTCTCATATCCTCCTCTTCTTCAGTATAAATAAGTCTCAGAGCTCCTCAAAACATGTGTGTGAAGTTTCTTGTTCTAAATCCACTCTGCCCTGCTCAGAACAGGCTGTTTCTGTGTCTGTACCTTTAAATATGTAAATGAGCTGTGTCTGACCACGCCCCCTCTCTGGAAGGGCTCGGGTGTACTCCGGTCTTTCTCGCTCCATGTCCTATTGTTTACTGTGAGAAGGCAGACTCAGAGGGCAGAACAAACACCTAGCTGTGGGAGTGTCACCCACCTGGGGGAGGGGCTACTGCCCTTTGTGATGTCATGAAGGGAAAATCTCCAAACGGCCTGTTTGAGCACACATTTTCTGAAAAGTGGAGCAGGCAAAAGACGGAGAGGATGGACTTTTCTCATCATTGGGGGGTTTGTAGACAGACTAGAGACACATATTAGAGTTAGAGGAACATGGAGAAGAGTATTTTGAATCATATGTGACCTTTAATGATCATAATTACAACTGTACCTACGACTGTAACTACAACGTAAACTAAAGTACCTAAAGAAGCAGCACGCTGTCCGAGGACACCCAGGGTCTGATTCAGAAAGGAGGTGTTGGTACCTTATTTGAATCATATATTTTATATATTAGGGTGAAAATCATTGATTGAGTATCTCAATGTTCATTAGCTTTATTTGGGTGAATTGTGACATTTAAGTTACTTTTGTATTTGTAGGCTGTAAAGAGGAAGTTGTGGTGGTGGTTGATGTGAGGCGGGATAGAATCATGCAGATATACAACAGAGTGTGAAAAAGAGCGGTCATGCTAAAATGGTCACCTGGAAATGATAACACATCAAGCCGAGGTCTTTAAATCCTCTCCCAATGTCAATGTAAGTTAACTCCCTGTGGGGTAACGCAGCCCCTTCATCCATAGGGTCCTCAGCTGTAGGACATGCCATGTTCAACAAACAAGTCTGTTTTATGACGTAGCTTTGCCTTACAGACTTTTTCAAACAACCTGGAATTCAGACAGACCGTGAATCTCCACTAAAATGCAGAAGAGGAGACGGTGAGAAACTCGGGGTTCATTGAAGAAAACCTGCTCCCGACCACGTTAGGTTCACAGACTCAGGGACTGGTTACGCAACTGGTTACCATAGTAACAGACTCTGAGCTTCTTCCTCAGGTTTGAGTTACCTCCCTTTCTGAAACGGAACTAATGAGTTTCCCCCTCGTTTCCGGGTTTTGCACTAAACCTGCTCTCCGACACGGGGCCTCAAACCGCCTGATGAGACCACCTACCTATTTTATGCAGTACCTGTTGTTTTGGTGTTTGTAAAAAAAAAATCTCTGCAGTATTTCTCTGTACAGCTCTCGTGTTTTTTCATGATTGTATACATTTTTTTGTAAAAAATAAAATAATGAATCGAAGCATTGCATTTCATGTTATTCATACATTTGTTTAGAAACCCTTTAATGTGTCACCTACAGTACACCTCAGAAATAACATTCAACCTGTTTCTGTACATTCAAACATACCCTAAACCTCTGACTGTTTGGGATTGACGCCTGTCCCTCATAAAGGCAGGTCTGGAGGCTCAGACCAGCCACCATGATGGAAATCCTGTCTCAGCCTAACTTTCAGTCAGCCTAACAACAGGCTCAGAGCTGGAGCTGAGGCGGGTTTTAAGCCACTTGACAAACTGTTACACCACGCCCACCTGTCAATCAGGTCAGCTACGCACCTACCTAACCTAAAAAAATTGACCCCCCTTACAGTGTGTTGTGTGATGACGACTAATCAAACCTATTTGTTTTTTTTTTTAACCAGGCTGTAAACATGTTAATCTCTGCTTTTTTGAATGGGTGTGTATGTGACTTCCTGTGCTCCTGCAGCCAGCCTCTAGTGGACACTCGAGGAACTGCAGGATTTTGCACTCCCACATTGGCTTCATTTTTCAACACCGGAGGTTGCCGCTTGATAGAAGCTGCTGTAACATGTTCTTCCTCAGTCGAACCCTTTCAACCTTTCAATCAAGTTTTTTATTCCAGTGTATCTGCGATTGTTATAACCGATGATGTGAACATGAAACCAGAAAACATCTCCATGGTAACTGTCAGTCTTTATTTTCTGATCACTTTGTTGAAATGAATTTCAGCTGCAGACGTTCAGACTTCACTCAGAGAAAAAAAAATACATATGATAAAGACAGAGAAACAAAGTTTAAAATCCTTCCTTCAGCCGTGATTCAGTCATCGATCTGTTCTGATGGTTTCATTTAAGACGAGTCAACAAATACTTAGTGGTTATTATTATTAATGTGGTTATCATGACGATCAACAGTATTATTATTATTATCGTTTTAGGGCTTCATGATTGTCCTATTTATTAAAATGTGGATTAATTTAAACACGATAAATTCTAACATAAAATTGAATTTACGGAAACCTGCTGAAAAAAACATTTGCAGAGCTGAATTATTTTTTCAAATACTTAACGTGTCACTTTTCCCCGTTATTCAATTTTTTTGAACACGGGTTTTATTTTGTTAAACACAAACAGGAAATAACCGCTGTGCGTACCGCTGTTGGTGGGACGACGTGATTGGCTTATTCGTCTCCAGCACACCTCTTTTCCTCAATGTTTGTCAGATTTCTTGCCTCCAATACTGCACTTCTGGTATAGGCTTCACAATAAAAGCCTTCCAGGAGTTTAGTGTACGAAGGCTTTTATTGTGAAGCCTTCCGGAGGAAGTCTGTGATTTAAAGTTCCAATATATAGAAAAGAAACAACCAATAATATAATGATCCAAACAGTGAAACAAACTGAGAGGAAACATGAGAAATAAAAACATCACAGAAGAATTCAGTCGTTTAAAATCAACAAAACAAATAAACTGTAAACAAGGAGATTTAGTGTCTTACGTCATGTCGGAAATTAAGTTTCGTACGACATGTCGAGATTTAGTGTCTTTCGTCATGACGAGATTTAGTGTCGTACACCATGTCGAGTTTTAATTTTATACGTCATGTCGGGTTTTAGTTTCGTACGTCATATCGGGTTTTAGTGTCGTATGTCATGTCGAGTTTTAGTTTCGTACGTCATGTCGAGTTTTAGTTTCATACATCATGTCGGGTTTTAGTTTCGTACGTCATATCAGGTTTTAGTTTCGTAAGTCATGTCGGAAATGTAGTTTCGTACGTCATGTCGATTTTAGTTTCGTACGTCATGTCGAGTTTTAGTTTCGTACGTCATGTCAGGTTTTAGTTTCGTACGTCATGTTGGGTTTTAGTGTCGTACGTCATATCAGGTTTTAGTTTCGTACGTCATGTCGGAAATGTAGTTTCGTACGTCATGTCGAGTTTTAGTTTCGTACGTCATGTCGAGTTTTAGTTTCGTACGTCATATCAGGTTTTAGTTTCGTACGTCATGTCGAGTTTTAGTTTCGTACGTCATGTCGAGTTTTAGTTTCGTACGTCATGTCGAGTTTTAGTTTCGTACGTCATGTCAGGTTTTAGTTTCGTACGTCATGTCGGGTTTTAGTGTCGTACGTCATGTCGGTTTTAGTGTCGTACGTCACGTCAAGTTTTAGTGTCATACATCATATCAAAATAGTGTTTTAGGTCATTTTCGTGAGGGTTGAACAAGAAGTAAACAGGAAGTAGCACTCGTTAAACTGGTTAAACTGGTTAAACTGGTGTTGATTGAATCACAATCAAAGTTAAGATAACTGGAGTGTAACTGGTTGTTTTATTGTACTCATAATTTGCATGTAACTGGAGTTTTAATGGTTACTTTTCAGACAAACTGGAGTTCAACTGGTGACTTTATATGACTTTATGAACTGGAGTTTAACTAAAGGTCACTGGTTTTATTTTGGAATGGAGTTTTAGTGGTTATATTATTGGACTCTAATTTGCGTTAAACTGGAGCTTTAACTGGACTTTAACTGGTAATTTTATCGGAGTTTTAATGGACTTTATGAACTGGAGTTCAACTAGAGGTCACTGGTTATATTTTGGAGTGCTCTTTTTAATGGTTATCTTTACTGGAGTTTTAGTGGTTATTTCAGCCCTTTAAAACAAACAAAAAAACACAAATATATTTTTTAAACGAAAATGAAAAAGAAAAAATCCAACAATTTCCATTTGTTTGACCTCTGCCATTATTCTAACAAGCAATCATGAACACACATTGTGGACCATTATATTCCAGTGGGGTTCAGAAGAGTCCAGTTGATTCTAGTAGGTCGAGTAGAGTTCAGTAGAGTCCAGTAGAGTACATCTGAGTCTAGGAGAGTCGATTAGAGTCCAGTAGCATCTCGTAGAGTTCAGTAGAATCCAGTAGACACAGCAATAAGACGAGATGTGTGCTGAGCGGGAGGTCGTGGGGCAATCAGAGGATGAAGAAGAGGAGGAGGACAACAAAGAGGATGGCGAGCAACACGCCAATAGCACACCACTGTCGTCGATCTGTGGAAATACAGA